AAGACATTAGGTTTCACTTGAAGCCGTAGACTTTTGCCATTAGTAGGTTTTCTGCTCAATACTGTAGCAACTATGTGCATTGATCAAACGCGTACACAAGAACGAAAACATTTATTTAACTATTTAAAATATGCTTATCAATAGACATGATGCGCCATAATCGACATAATTTGTACTCTTAGCTTTAGGAAGGTAGTCTGTCTTAAGACGTTTATTTAGGAATAGCAGTCTTTTAAATTTTGAAGTATGCGCTTAGTTCCCAAAAGATATCGTGATCAGATATATTTCCCAACTCTCCAAGTATTTTAAACATCGTATATTTTCAAGACCATTGTACAAACTAGTTTATGTATTTTGAATATTATCTATTTTTTCCTTCCATATGCTTTTAATAATTTCTAGATTATTGTATTTCTATAGAGTTTATATAGTCTAAATTTTGTGTAAAATACCGACACCAGATATTGAGGGTTATTCAGAGGAAAGGTGACAAAAATGGAGTATGTAGCTATCAATGAAACAACTCATCTCATAACTCTAATAAAGCAGACTGCAGTAAATTTAATTCTCTTAAACCGGCTGATATGAACTGAATACTATTAAAATATTTCATTTTTAACGACTGAGTGATGTTATAGCTAGCAAGGTTCTAAGGAATGTAAAGCGTAAAATAAATTTCTGTCAGACATTATTAAATTTTTATGTTAATTTTCCGACACCGTATTTTAAAGCTTATCTCTCCATACATATGCAACATAAGCATACTTACGTACATACGCAGCATGCAACAATGCAATGTGCTTGCTCTGGAGGCAAATAGCTTTGTAGACCTCAAACCAAATAAATTTATTTATCTTCGTGAGTCTGGTAAATTGGTTTACCTTTTTAAAAGGTCCAAAAATTGAAAATACGTTTTTTAAACTTATGTGGATTAAAGCTCTATCCAAGATTAATATTTTCGAACTGCGTGTAATTAAATCTCACAATTCAAAACCGCGTGCGATACCGGAATTCCTGTAACGATTACGTTTTGCAGCATCAACAGTGGAGAGTCAATATATCAAATTCATCAGAAAGTGTTATACATTTGAATGATGGTATTTTATACTAATATTCCCTTCATAACACCACAAATAGGCTCTCTATTTCCCAAGAGAACATTTACTTAGGTCGTCAAATTCGCCTCGTGATCTAACTTTATTCTAAAATCCTTATTCTAAAAACGCTGTATTAATGAGCTTTGTTGAGGTACATATTTGGGAGAAATCCTATAATGTAAGACAGTAAGCAAATGTCTATTTTAGTACAATACAGTATTCAAAAGCACAATATTATCATATACTATAAAACTTAAAAAGTGAAAGCCTAAAGTAACAAATAGAAATCAAGGATGCTACCAAGAAGCAAAAACTAATAAAAGGAAAATAATTAAAAAACCAAAAGAAATTTAAAGAAAATTAATTAGCCAGTTATACATTTTTCATCAGAAAAACAGAAATAGTTGCATAGAACGTATTCTAAAATCACACCATGGAACAAATTTCTAAGTAATTAGTCGAGGTCAAAAATAACATGAAGACCTTCTTTTTTAAACTATGCTTCGGAAAACCTAAAATGAAAAATGGCAATAATGAATAACGTTTAACTAAGAAAAATCTAGAGTTAAATTCTCTCGCAACTGCCTCCCCATTAAAATATTGGTCATAAAGCCTCCAACTGTTACATGCCTTTTTCACAGAAGTAGCATCCTGGCTAATCGGCCAGAATGTCTCTTGATTTGAAGAAAATTATGAGAAGCCGTAGGTTTTCGTTTCCAACCACCGCTACTCTTCATGGCGATACGCTCGTTCTTTCAGAAACTTTTAATTTTTTTGTTCACTTCATTATCCCTGATGCAGTCTTATCTATAGACACAGCCTACAATGAATTTTAGTCTTATTTTGGCCTTAGCTTACAGAAATGATAAAAACATGTATCTAGAACTTAGCTGGATCATTATTTGCATCAGATATTATGAAATCCATGGTACAGAAATAGAAATGTCTGCAATGAGGAATCTCTAGAGCAAATGACATAACACAATTTTTCCAACATTTTATTATATTACAGTATCGTCATTATCTAAATTTATGTTAATTTACTAATTTACTTTTTTAGTAAATTAAAAAAATTACAGTATCTAATTCTTCTCCTGTTTTTTTTTCCAAACTGTTTGAATCTTAATAAGAAAATTTTTCGTTTACAGAGCCTGGTAGCAGAACAGTATTAACAGTTTAGTAATCTAATCAATTTAAAATCCACATTTTATAGAAAGTATAAAGCAAAATTTCTCCCATTTTACTAGCGTGCCTTCGTGGTGAAGTGGCACGCTGGGCCGGTATTCCAGAGGTCCGTGGTTCGATCCCCGGCGCAGGCGGTTGCTATTTTTCATCTTTCCTGCTTCAAAAAATATACCTAATGTCCCTACAAGTCTAAAATCAGTTTAGCTTACAAATGCTAAGTAATAATTAAAATTTACAAATGATAAGTAGTTTTAAATTGCGCAAAATATGAATGGAAAATCATGCCCAGAAGAATAAATAGTAATGAAAAATTCATCCATACAAAAATCATGAGAAAAATTAAGCATTTTTTAACCTTAAAATATGGATGTTTATAAAAGGGAAATTCTATGTTCATATCGATGCACAGAAATGAGTCACATTTGGTTTCTGGCAAATTTTATTATTTTTATAGAAATTTTGATGCATACGGAACATTATTAGACGTATAAAAACTAATAGGTTCGTTTATTAGTAATAGAATTATTAGGGCGTTTGCACATTTTTTCATTATATGTTCCCTAAATAAAGTGGTAATTTATTTTGTTCTCTATTATAATCGGTATTGGTATATATATATCTTTTTTTGTATGTATGTTGAATAAAGTTAATATACATAATTAATTTACAGAAAAGTGAATTTTAGATATTTTAACAGTATGCGATATAGCGAAGCGAATACACTAATCTGCATAATTATATGTAAAATACAATATCTAGTTATCGATTGACATTCTCTGTAAACTTTAGTATCTAGTTCTATTCTAAAATTCAAATGGTGGACGTAAAATATCTATTTTTTACACATTTCTGCTTCTGAATTAAAAAGCAGTTTTCATGTTCCCTTCAAGAAATTCCCATATAGCATTGATCTAGTTGAAATACTTTGGACTGAATCTCAAACATTTCGGTTTGATTTAGGTTAAGGAATTTTAATCACGTACCATAATTAAACCTCTTTCTACTTGCTTAAAGCCTAAATAATGAAGGTAAGTGTTTGAAGCTTTACCGTTAGGACCTCGAACACATAGATAGTTCAGCGTCTCAGAAAGTATGTATGTTTCTGACTCACTTCTCGTTTACATTTTTATATAGTACAAATATTCAAGAGGTATTGATGTAAAGGCTTATTAAGTCATTAACTTATAAAATCATGAACTAGAAAACATTAAAAATGAAAGTGGCTTATGTTCCTCTCATGACAAATGAGGTAAGTACATTGTACAAGAATATTCAGATTAGTTAACCAGTAATCCGATCAGTAAAACTTCCAGAGATAGGTAAAGTAATGATTGCAATAATTCCATTTATTGCAGTGCTTAAAATGCATTTGCAATTATAAAATAATAGCTTTTATCGGCTGTTTCTAATTAATTTAAAGTTACGTTTCAGTGCGAATTATAAAGGAAGAATCAATATATGCGATATCTTTCATTAAGGAACAGAAACATTTTTCAAAAGCGTTCAAGTGATGAGAAAGATCCTCCCGTAGTGCAAAGACACAAATATTTTTTTCTAAAGTTATATAAAGCATAAATACATAAATAAAACTGCGAGATTTAAACAAATTCTGATTCATCTACAGTAGTAATATTTGATCAATAAATTATGAATTAAATGCATAATGTGTATGTGTCTTTCTAAACATCTGTAGAAATTTCGTTTCTTATTGAAGTATCTAAAAAAATCAATTTCTCCACAATAAATGTAACCATTATCAATTTTTTGTTAATTCCGAAATCCCAGATCCTAATAATTAATTATTTATTTCTAATCATTTTATGTTATCATGCAGGAAGAAATTACATTTTTATTAATTATCGATTTTTATATTCATATTTTTTTAATTTACTTTCTGATTGGTAATGTTTATATAGTTTAGGACTCTGCTTTTGAAATAGAATATTCACACTCATGTATAAATGCAGATTATTTTTGTTAAAGGCATAATGGCACCAGTCCAAACTGAACTAATTAGGTAATAGTGCGAAATCGCGGATACCTAAAAGTGACAAAATATTTTTTGTTGTCAACATATTGTAATTTGAAGTGAATTACGAGCATATTAAAGAGCATCTAATGGTTATACATTTTCCGTTTGAAAACTTTTTCCTCTTTCCCTCATTATCAAAATTAACAGCATTAAGTCCCTGTTTCATAATGCGTTGCGGTTTTTCAAAGATATAATTATTTAGCATTAAAATACTTTCTAATATTATTCATATTGCTTATCTTTCATTAATTGCAGTTTTAAGTTTTTGGTTCTCATCGCTTCATTTATTGCCGTAAATTGAATAGATTAAATAAAATCCTGCTCTTTCTGTTTTAGGTTTTCATATCAATGGAATTTAATAAGTAATAAAATAAAATGTGCTGTGGAATATTTAAGAAAAGTGATATAATATTATGCCAAAGTAGCAAACTGTTAAATGAAAATTTAAAATGATAATTTTATTCCCAAACATTAGTTTGACAAACCTATACATGGATTGTGAAATCGGAATGTATTTAGATGTCTTATTGAAATATGACAGTGTCTGATGATTATGATAATATTTGTTAGGGTATTGTTGTGATTTGAATATACTCAGTGTTTTCCGATTTCATTATTAAAAATAGAAGGTATTTGTGCCATTCTTTCAGCTAGCAAAACATGTGAGAGTTTAATATTTACTTCAGGTGAAACCCGAATTCCTGTCTCAGTATACACCGACAATATATCCGGACGGCTTATCATCGACGAAACTTGGTCTCCGATTTCGAGTTCAAGAAGACCACTTCAGATCTGAGGAGATGAGACTTAAATGCACCGCTACTTTGGCCAAAATAATTAAAATGACAACTGTGGAGACAATCGCAGTAGGACCCCAAAGGACTTCTAATCCCCAAGTATCGGAAAACTCTGCAGCAGGTATGCTCTTTCTTTGTCATTACCGACTGGAAATAAAATATTCTTGGTATCTGGTTTGAAAGTGGTAAGCGTTTAAACTTATAGCAAATTGAACCCGATACAGAATATATAAAGTAACTGGATTATTGTTTGGTAAGTTAACGCTTTGTGTCATTCTCTGTATCTGAGACTGAATATGTCACATACTGTAAAGCATGAGGCAAACGTAAATCAGCGTATGGGTTTTGTAGCAGAATTCTACTGAAACGTTAAAATTCTTATTCAAACTTATTTATATTCATAAGCAATGCATAGGAAAACTTAAATGCACGTATGTTATTACTATTTATCGTATGCACCTTTGTTTTTATTTTATTAATGCAGTAATGATAATGTGCTTTTGTTATACATATATGCATATTCAGCTATGCGTTTGGCGTTGTGATTCAGTCTTTAACATGTAAAGTAACATGTATGGCGTTGTGATCACAATATGTAAAATTAACACATTCTCAAGATAAAGTTTTAATTACCTATGAAACAAATATGTGAAATGAATAATTATCTCTGAAAGTTCGTTCGAATCACAACTTGGAAATAATTTTTATCTTGCAAGACATAATAAAACATTTAAGATTATTCTATTAAAAGTCCACCAATTTCAATGACTTACATTTAAACTCTCGACCTCAAAGTCTGTCTATGAGATTTCTTAAAATCCCGGTATAATAATAAACTAAAATATATTTTTCATAATTTAAAGTTACAACAGCATGTTTAAAAAAGTCTCAAGTAGTGAACGAAACATTAAATATACACATCTTAAGTAGTGTACACTATTACCTTTCTGTAATTATCTTACCGAAAATTTTACGATTATCACTGTGTACATGTGGATATAAAGGGCCCTGAGACTTATAATATTTCGAAATTAAATAAATGCATCATGTTGAACAACTAAGCTAAAAGGTTTAGAATCATAGCAAAAAGAAAGAGTTTTTCTGCCTGTGTTTTATAAAATTTGCTTTAAAGCTATGGACATTTCATTTGTAAACATAATTTCAATATCTAATTAATATGTATACATCTTTTGTTTGCATTTAATACATGCAGAAAGGCCTTAAATTGAAATGTTGAACATTCTAGAAATTTTCCAATTTTCTGCGCGTTTCAGGGGGCTGTGTTTTGTGTTAATGTACATACGTAGAGGTAAGTTATCACACACTTACGCATGCAAGCATATTCGCCGTGCAAAATCTTTCACTTTAACAGAATTATCTTAATTTTCTTGTTCAATACGTATGCTTAAAACGTGAATTTTATACAGTATTGATAATGCCTGCGTTACATGAGGCTGATAATTGATTCTGATTGGAAAGACCCTCGACTAGTTCTTCGGCATAGCTTTTCTAGTAAATACTTTCATTGAGCCGTAAAACAGTTACCTTAGAGGGTCTATGGAACAGAATGAGGTAGATACCCTGGTACATCCATCGGGAAGTAACTGAATGTGCATGATTTTTTCTTACCATTTTTGACTGGTTTGAGATGACTTTGAAGCCAAAGAATTAAACAAAGAAAGATTAACAAATAATACAAATTACATTTTTTCCACTTATATGCATGCATTTATGTACTGGAGCAATAATTTAATTAGAAGACAAGCTACAGTGATTGACATTAGTAATTAGGCAAAGGATTTGCTGTAATTTTGACTTTGGTTTTAAATGGCACCTCATATAAAAAATTCCTATTATCATTAACGGTTAGGAAACAGGAAGTTGAGTATCATATACTGTATATGTATATATCCTTTTAACCATCTGTGCCACTAAGAAATGCTGTTCATCTTAGGCTTCAGTTTCTTAAATGAAAGGAATGCTTTAGAAATGCTCCTGGCGTATTAGGTGAATACGGATCGGTTTCATAAACCGTTATCAAATGGTGATCTATAGAAACTAATTGCATTGTTCAACACTGCCTGGGGCAGAAAAGAAAAAGAGAAAAAATATAATTTTTCTTCCGTTTGCGAAGGGTTGCAGGCTTTCGTTTTACAAAAAAATTGGCCTTCAGAATTTTTATAACTGCTACGATCTTTGGAACCTGAACAGAAATAACAGATACAGTCTTAGCAATAACTATGATGTGTCAAATAATTGTTCCTGCACGTCTTATTGTATTGTAAATAATTTAGAATGTTTTCAAAGAAGGCGTCGTTCAATTCTTGAATATTTTTCCTAACAAAATTTTACAATCTCTTTACTTATACTTGTAACAGTAAAATTAATATAAATGTTAAACACTCGTAATAATAAAAATATAATTATTCATACATAGCTAATTTGAAAATTTTCTTCTTGCGCATTTAATATAACAGTTTTGCCTTTAAAATATATGTGCTAATTTAGCGTTTGTAATACCCTTTACAATGATACTTTATTCCAAGCAACTGCGTATGTTAATGAAATGAACACACACTTTTATTTATTGTAAGATTTGATTTATATTTATTGAAATTTATTTATTGATATTAGAGTTTCTACTATATTTTGGAACCAAACCTAATACCTGGAAATGAAAAGAATACAAACTATATCACTGTAATCATATTTGTGCATTGGGGCAATGAGCTAATAACATACCTTGCAAACAAGCTTCAGCCACTTATCGATCAGACTGCAACATCCATTTACCCGAAACGAACTAAAATGGTTGTGTACCTTCAGATAAGTTATGTATATCAGAAGTGAAATCTTCCTTGATGTCCTGCTATAAATCTTGACAAATTGATGTGAACTGGAGGAGGTTATCCTCTAATTGAAGATTTGCGAGCGTGTCCTCTGGGTGTGCCATCTGTGGCTGCAAATCGTAAGGTGAAACGTGTTTCATTAATATTAATGGAGTGCTTCTGGCACTTACGATGATAATTTAATATATATTGCCTAACCGATTATGTCTGAAAGAGTTTTAGGCACTGATATTATATTTATTTAATATATATATGGCATTTCATATACGAGTAAGTTATTGCAGGATATAGCATTAATAGCAGAAAATTCGAGCAAAGTAGTTCAATTTAAAAACACCAATGGTATGAAATATTTGCTAATAAGTTTTTCTCCAATGAAATTGAATTTAGTTATTTTCATCATTCATAACAAAAAGCGTTAGTTGAACTAAATTAAAAAAAATTCTGCTCAGAGTTTAAGTAAAGAAATATTATCTACTTAGAATTTAAAACATAAACGTAGATATCCATTTTTGAAAACATTGAGCATCTTAATTAAAACTAAAGACTCTAAATCTGAAAAATGCAATTTAATGTTAAAAGAAAACCTCGCCTAATGAGTGAATAAACTGCATTGAGCTACTTGCAATACCTTCGTGCCTTTACACAGAAATAAAAATCTATCAGTTTATGGACATGAGTAAAACTATATTTTATTTGAAAAAAAAAATTCCCCCCAGTTCTTTTGTTTCCCCATGGTCAAAATCTTTTAGAATATGATACAAGTTAGATTTTTATGGATAAAATACGAAAACATTATTAGAATGAGCCTCTTTTCAGCTGACAGTAGGAAATATAATTAAATTCTCATTAAGAATTTTCGAGCAGCATCTAAAATTCATCACATTAAACTTCCCAGTTTAAAAAGCGTTTCAAAACGAAATAGTCCTGCTGGAAATGTTATCAGTTTGTGTGTTATTGCTGTTGTTATGTTATTGTACTACTGGTTGTTATGTTATGGTACTACTGGTTGTAATATTATTGTTAGTGTTCTGTATTATTTAATCAGAATGATATGAATGTACCTGCAAAACGAAAGTTTTCATGGATTCATTTTTAATACATGTCAAAATATTCGCACCCAAAAGTCATAATCTCAGGTATATTAAACTACTTATAAATCTATCTTCCCTTTCAATGCAAACGTAATGTTTCTTTAATCAATTAAAGTTCCGTCAATTTTCAATTGAATCTTCCTTCAAGACATTATTCTGGCAGTGTATATTTAGAAACATGGATGATTTGAACGGAAACTTTTGGTTTCCAGACTTTTTGGCTAGTGGCGTTTACAAATTCCTCTTGGTGTTATATGCAGTTAAATTACTTTCCTATTCGCCAAGAAGATCAGGTATAACCATCTGCCGACTCATTTCCAATACTAACTTCCAAGCAGAGACATCTTTTAGAAATCATTTCGTGTATGACTCTAATCTTTATTTTATAATTGGTAAAGGATTAACTTAAAGATTTACTCCATCGTCATACCTAGTCATTTGTTATGTTCTATTCCTTCGTTATGTATATATTAAAGTTGACAAAGGGTTACAATTAAATGCACTCAAATTCAAACACGAGTAAACAAAGCAGTGTCATTTAGAAAGTTGTCCACGGAGGAATCCATTTCCTTAGGCAGATAACTATTGTGTGGTTTGCCATGCTCATGTAACCTAACTCACAGGTGAGTTAATTAAAGATATTCAATACTTTTCCCTACGTTAATATTTCAAAAGCATGTCTTGCATTAATATCATAAAAACGCCTAGTTTTCTACTTCTTGCTTAATTTCTCTCTCTAATGAAACATCGAATTTGATTTTTTGTTTGTTATATTAGTAATGAGGAAACTTCTGAAGAGTGTAAATGAACTTAATCAGTTCTTATGAATTAATATAAATAACCACTTATCCGTATGGGAAAATATTCATAGCATCTAGCTATATATGAACGATTTGAAAGAAATTCTTCAAGAAATTTATTTTGCAAAATAATTAGAAAAAGCTTGATTGTTTGAATTACGAGAATAAAATATATCAAGTAGTAACAGTATGAACGAAGCATTGAAGCATTGAATGGTAGCTACAAAACTCTTGATTCTGAACTTACACGGAAGTGATTGATTCGTTTGGTTTTGAGGAAGCACATTTATCGACCTTTTTTAGCAATCCCTTGAGAAGGCACCTTTAGATTATTTCGCTTGGGCAGAAGTTTCTGACATCACAGCAAAACAATTGAGC